GGTAATGGAGACCTGAACTATGGTGATTTCAAGGTGGCTTTTGATGTGGATGAAAACCTGTCTGTAGAGACAGCCAATGAGCACGTATATGCTACAATGAAGTTTACTTCCAATAATGAAGCAAATGTTGGATCTTTCAACACTAAAGGAGTTCATTCCAGCCAGGCTACTCTCGATATGGCTCTTCTGAAGTCACTGGTGGCTGATATGAAAATAGACTTGTCTCAACCGAGCACCTTTGGTGAACTTAGCATCTTCGAGACAATGAAAGTAGATCTCAGTGCTCCCAAGCAGAAAATTGATATCCTTTCAACAATCAAGTCTCCGGTATACACCACAGATGTTCGTGCTAAACTAGACGGTAATGCCCCAGATTACAAAACGGTTCTGAAGGCTTCAGCCACTTCACCAGTTGTGCGCCTGCAGTATGATCTTGACAGTAAGTTTCAACATATACTATATGTACAATGATACTCAATGTTAATAAAAGGAAATTAAATCTTGGATTTGTGTGCTTTTACACAAAACAGGCTCCATGAGTTCTACTATGGAGAATGGTGCCCTTGTTGTCGGAGCTAACGCTGTACTTACACATCAGGACTTCACTATGGATATCAGCAATGCTATTCGCATGAGGTAAATAAAAAATCTTTCTGATTTTTTGTTTGAATATTAGTACTATGTTTGCAATTATAATTTATTTTATAAAGCAATTCTGAGTGTAAATCTAAATTCTACTTATCATTAGCGAAAGGAGCCATATTCTGAATGTGGACATCACCAGCCAAACATTTACCGATGTTAACCTTCGCTATGCTGCTCGGAGTGATGGGATAAGTGGCTCTGTTTCCACACCGGGGTCTGGCCTCCTTGGCTTTCAGCTCCAAGGAAATATTCCATCCCAAATGAATGCAAGGCTCTACTGTCGTTATGCTGTAAGTTGCAGTTTTTTTGTCTTGTTTTTCAGATAATAATTCATGCGTACTCTTTGTTCTCTTTGTTTCCTGCTTGCACTTATTTAATATTCATATGTGTAATATTGGTAAGGTTTCTAAAATTATAATTGTTGTATTTTCTGCAGTTTGCACCAGATGATGATGTCGACATCCTAAGCGTCAGAGCCGTACCAAAGGGAGATGAAAAAGTACTGTTGGTCACTGGCAATATAAAGGCTGCACAATCCATGTTTGAAGGCTTAATGAATACTCTAGAAAAAATCTCATTTAAACTTGCAGGATTAGCAAGAGAATATGGTCTCGCTTTTCCAATTTTTGTTGCTGACGATGTTTATGGAGTAATTTCAAATGGACTCTCTGCTGCCCGCAGAGCTACACCAGGCGTTAGTGAGTTATCCCAACTTTTCAGAAATGTAGTTGTCACATCCCAAAAGACCATCCAGGTCTTGATTGACAATGCCATCGTACTCGTAAAAGAGATTTCACAATATAAACTGCCTGGAATGAATGAAGCTACACTGGCTGAAATTTGCAAGAAAATCCAATTAGTTGTTGTAGAAATGCTGAGGAATTTTGGTAACAACTTAGAGGTATACTTCTCTCCCATCATGGATAACTTTAATACAATTCAATTGACATTTCCCAATGGAAAGGTCATGACAGTAGCTGAGTTCCAACAAAATGTGCAAAGTATCCTGAGAAGCAACCTAGTTATGATAGCAGATGCAATGAAGCAAATCGAAAGTCCTGATGTAGTTCTTAAGAAACTTGGACAAACTTTACAAGAGGTTGTTGAAAAAGGACAAGAATTTGTGGACAAAATGAATTTAAGTTTATTAGAAGATATTGCCGCGGCCATTAACACGTTCTACCAGGAGCTGATGAAGATCATAGAAGACATTAGTGAGGCAGTCATCTTTGGTTTTTCAATCCCTGCAATTAAAATATATGAAATTTCTCAAAACATAGGGAAAGTGTTGAATGCAAATAATGGAATACATCAATTTGAGCTTCCTCTCCCATTTTTCCAGTAATATGGTCATTCTGAACAGAAAGTAAATTAAGTAAACACTACCATCTTTTGAAATGAACATTCTTGGACATCGAAGCCAATGGACACTTCACTGAAGTATAGTACAAACATGTATATAAAGCAATTACTGACTCAAAACATGTCTCATTGTTATGCTGCTCTATTATTCTATTTGTATAAATGAGGATTGAAATACTAAGCTAGTTATCAAAAATGTCAACTGCAACCTATTGTCATCCTTGTTCTGTATCCAACATTAATGGCATGATGGATGGGGATCAATAAAGAACTTTTATTATGCAACACGACCCAATCTTGTCATTTCTATATTCTAGAAGTGTTTTAAACTAGTTTGGACCATTCAATAATATAATATAATTGAATATACAGGTGTAATAACATGCAACAAAATGAAAAATAAGCAGTGGTACATGGGTACATTTTAGTTTTTTATGCAAACTACTGGTGACTTAAAAAAAATTACAAATAAAATATTTTATTCTATTTTTTTCATTAGGAAGAAAAAAGTTTATCAGAACTTTTGTAGAGGTAAAAAAAACTACTAACATTTTACTCAATCCCATACCTGAAAAATCTAGTAAATCAATTGCTTTGATTAGTGGTTATTGAACCTTATTTTAACCAGCTTCAGGTTAACACATGTTAACTACTCCTTTTTGACATATAAACTGAAAATCATTTAATCTTCATTAAAAATATTTTGGATTTGCTTACAAACTGATGTCTGCCTTACCTTTTAAAACTGGAATAACACCAGCAAACACTAATTTAAAACTGAATTAATTTTAACTTGTTTTTTTTTTTACTATGCAATAAATTCAGCAGTTTTCTTTTAAACAAAGTTGAGCCTTTTCCTGTTTATTTGGCAAAGGGCACATAATCAGTAAAGCTTTACTCTGCCCCCTTGTGGTAAACACGCTGAATTGTTGACAGCGAACATTAAAGATAAAGGCATAGAAAACATTTAAAAAAAATGATTTTGAGAAGAACATAAGGTGTTAAAAAGAATGAGGCAGAAAGCATTAAACTAAAAAATGGGTTAATAAAATGTTTTAGAAAGTTATGAATATATCTACAACCTAACTGAAATATATATCAGATAATCAGATTTGTACAAGTATTGCATCTACTATATTTTTGCATGCATTTCAGTCAATATGCTCTAATTTCCTATTTCAATGAAGCAGCTATTTTATTATGTACTTGTCTGTATATGATTTATATATAGCAGCATACATTGTCATATGTACATCTTGCTGTGGCACTGTATTTTAAAGAGGTAACTTTAGCACTGAGATACTGTAGGTTCTGGATCTACTGTACATCCAATGGGAATTAGCAAATAATTAAATCAAACAACAGTGTGGCCGAAACAATAATAATGACTTGTTCGATGAGAGTCATAACACTCAACTACACTGTAAAACCCAAAAAGTTAAAATAACTTAAAGTTTAAGTTGTTTAAACTTTTTGGGTTTAACAGTGTAGTTGAGTGTCATGACTACAAAAATAATCCTATTGAGTACTTTGAACTTAATCCATTTGAGTAAATGAAGCAATTTGAGCACTTAAGGAGAACTCAAACCAACCGAGTACTGTAAAACCTAATACACTGAAAAAAAATTATACATTCCTTGGATTTACTCAATTTTTTTACGTTAAGTGGTTGTAAACAATTTATTTGTGTTGAATTTAAACAAACAAATTACGTTGAACATTATTAAACTTAATTTGTTTGTTTAAATTCAACACAAATAAATTGTTTGCAACAGTTCTGCATGCAACACTTTTTTCAGTGTAGGTTAAGGCAACACAATTAGTTTGAGGAAACCAATTTCTACACACCATTTCAGTCAAAAACTAATCATTAAAGTACTGTGAACTTACTCAATTTAAGTTGAAATAATGAGGTATTTAAATAACTTATCACCTTCAACATTGAGTTCAAAACTCTTTTGAAATGAGTAGATTTAACTTGCAGTAAATTTTGAGTTAACTACACTCATTTTATTTAATAAAGTTGACAGTTGAGTTTTTTGAGAAGCTCTAAAATTACAAGATACAGTTTTATCAATAAAACTGCCACCGTGTAACCCCTATTAATTAATAAAAAATTGTCATGAGTAAACTATGCGTTTGGAACAGCATTCACAATGTAATTCTCAATATGATAACACTGCAAAAAATATGTTAATAAACAGCTGTATGTAGCTCAGGAGTCTTGAGTATTTTGTGTTTACTTATAAACCCAGATTACAGTAATCTGTGCTCAACAACTTTTGCTGTTGTTTGTATATTTTATAAAAAAAATTTATAAATCTACAAACAATAACTTGAACACTACTGGCCGGTCGCTGCCTGTTTTTAGCTCTAGTTTTACTTGACAAACCCCAAAATGTTTAAGATCAAAAGTTGTTCCTGCAGCTGAATAAGGCCCCATAATGTAATTTGGAAATGTAAATAAACAGAAGACAAAATAAATCACACTGCTAATATATTTAAAGTGTATGAAAAATTAACATGAAACATTGATTGGATAAACATAAGCTAGAATGATTAGATCGTTTTTGATGAAAAGGATTCACAAATATCCATTACAGACACATAGAGAGATATGTTCAGGTAAAGGGGCACGTTTACACGTATAAAAATATTTCCAGAGGCACCGCGAAGTGCTTTGTCACTTCTTTCAGCCCTTGACATGAGTTACGCACGATAGAAAACAACTCTGGCACACTTGAAGCATACGAGGATGAAGCAACATAATCTAATTTCAGCTGTTCAGGGCACTTGTGGCTCTTCGGTCTTCGGGGTGTCGCATTACCAAACCTTACCCAAACTTTTTGGATTTAATCATTGCTAGCCGTGGAGTGGAAAGTTCCCCGCCGAAACCGCCCCTCCTACTAAGGATCTATGATCTCAAACATGTACAAATTGAAAAGAGTCAGTAAAGAGCTCTTCACACTGTTGAGGACCCAAACCAGCCTAAAATGACCACCGGCGTTGAGAGGCTTTTTGACGAACTTGGACACTTTAAAAGGTATGCTACTTTTTTGTCCTCGCGAAGTCAGAGGCATTTTTTGTTGTCAGTATTTAATGCTGACCATAAAATATCGTATTCATAATCCTATGAATCTTTTTTTCTTCATTTAATTTGGTTCTCTGTAAATTCGCCCGAAGCTAAGGTGCTTGGGTGAGCAGGTAGAACAAGTTTACACACATGGTTTAAATACTTTCACAAGCATAACTTAAGAAATTTAAGTGATATTGTTGAATATTTATTTAATCTGAATATAAGAATATTTTGGCGAACCATGACCCGTTAAAGATGGAATTCAAAGGAGATGAGTGAGTGACAAAAAATAAGGCGTTTTTATTTTTTTTACGTCTAGTCTGTTATATATCACTTAAAGTTTTTTTTTTGACCGACTAGAAGTTGTGCAGATGAGAACCTTTTTAACTGTTACAATGAACCCTGCTTTTATTTGATACTTTGTGACACTAACGATGCACTTTTTTTCTGAATGTGTGAAAATGTGAATTTTCTTACCTATGCACAGCTGTGTTGCGATTAGGTCCCGTTATATGTATGACCATGATGTCCTGGTTGCAGTGTTCATTGCAAAAAAACAACAAACAAACAAAAAAAAAAACTCCGACATTTATGTATTTAATTAATTCATAAAAAGCTTGGCCAGTTATTTTATTTTAAAAAGTTAATACGCTAACATTATTCAGATAGATATTTCAGAAAACATTTAAAACTATCATATGGTCATGTTGCAATTTGTCCTTCCCTCACATGTTACAATGAGTCCCGCATATGAGGCAAGTGTCACATTTCACTTCCATTCTTTTTGGATAAATACTGAATATACAAAAGTATACACTGCCTGCTCGCTTTGAACATCCAGTGTAATATGGGAGAAAGATATTGTAAACAGATTTGTATTGCATTCATCCCAGTTAATGCATGTCGCTATTTACAATATTGTTTGTCCTGCTGTATGGAAGGTTATGAAAAGTTTAATGTAAAACTGGATATTCAGTAGTTTCGGGAACTAATAAACTAACCAACTAACTAAATGAATAAATAAAACCATGTCAATTCTGCCTCTAACTTATAACCTAAAGCAGGGGTGTCAAACTCAATTCCTGGAGGGCCGAAGCCCTGCACAGTTAAGTTCCAACCCTGCTCCAACACACTTACCTGTAGGTTTCAAACAAGCCTGAAGGACTCAATTAGTTTGATCAGGTGTGTTTAATTAGGGTTGGAACTAAACTGTGTATAGCTGCGGCCCTTTTGGAACTTTCAGTACCTTTTACCTTGAGTAAAAAATAATTCTGGGTGACGCAGTGGCACAGTAGGTAGTGCTGTCGCCACACAGCAAGAAGATCGCTGGTTCGAGTTTCAGCTGGGCCAGTTGGCATTTCTATATGGAGTTTGCATGTTCTCCCTGCATTCTCGTGGGTTTCCTCCGGGTGCTCTGGTTTCCCCCACAGTCCAAAGATATGCAGTACAGGTGAATTGAGTATTCTAAATTGTCCGTAGTGTATTAGTGTGTGTGTGGATGTTTCATTAGAGATGGGTTGCAGCTGGAAGTGCATCCGCTGCGTAAAACATACTGTATGCTGTATAAGTTGGCAGTTCATACTGCTGTGGCGACCCCAGATTAATAAAGGGACAAAGCTGAAAAGGAAATAAATGAACAAACTAATAACTAATTCCAATGATAGCCTCGATTATTTTCTCCTTGAGTCTTAAGGATGTGTTATTCAGTCAGTAATTAATTTCCAATTTAACCTTCTACTTTCTCTTCAGGTTTCAGGCATGCCTCTACTTTGCTGCAATTTTCCAGGCCATCTCTTGTGGAATACATTACCTGGCCTCAGTTTTCTTAGTCGAAACACCTAAATTTCTTTGTAATCCTCCTTTGAATATCACAGATGTTCTCTACAAAAACCTTTCTTTCACATCCCTGGCAGATATCTGGACTCATTATAAGACAGGTGATGGACCTGTGGTTGTACGGACATCTCAAGGAGACCAGTGGGAACTTAGTCCTTGTTTAAAAGCACTGCGACTTGATGCCATTAATTTTCAATATGAATTTTTTGGGAACAAATCCGTGGAGTCTTGTGGTGCATTTGTATATGATCACAGTGAGGTTGAGCAAAGCATCGTAACAGACTGGGACCTGGTGTGCGAGAGGGAATGGCTAGCCAAGCTTACACAACCAACTTTCATGCTGGGAGTTTTGATTGGAGCATTGATGTTTGGGGATGCAGCAGATAGGTAAATTATTATTAATTATATTCAGTACACCCTCATGAATCTAACCCTTAAAAAAATCAATGACTTGATTGGTTTAGTCATTTTGTAAGCATTTTAATAGAGCAATGAGGATTTCAGATGTCCTCACACTATTCTCTTTTTTCTTTTTATACAAATCTGTCCCTCTGTTCCCACTCCTTTATAAGTTTTTTATTGTGTAAAAAAGAGAGGGGAAAAATCAGACATAAAATAAAACTAAATTAAATACTCAAAAAATCTAGGAAAACACGCAAGTTTATTTTTCATGTTGAAGAACATATTCACCGGTAACCACTGACATCCATAGAAGGAAAATCAAATACTATGGCAATCAATGGTTACCAGTTTATATCATTCTTCAAAATATCTTCATTTGTGTTCAACAGAAGAAAGAAAGTCAAACATGTTTGTGACAAGTGAAGGGTGAGTAAATGATGACAGAATTTTCAGTTCTGGGTGAACTGAACTGTATGGTATTTTTCATACCACATAAACCATGTATTCAAAGCAACAGATGAACAAGATAAATAAAATGGCGTACATCAGTCCAGAGAATTAAAGTGAGCATACAGTACATGCACAATGTAAAATATGCTGAGTTCCACGCAATTGATAATTGTTAATTACATTAACTTTACAAACGAGTGGATTTAACATAAAGGTTAATTTGTTTCCCCAAAAAACTTTGAGTTGTGTTGTTTCAGTTTATTAAAAAAAAAAAAAAGTGGCTTGAACAAACAGCAAACGTCCTTTTTTGAGTGTAGATTGGGGCACGTTTTAAAGAACACAGTACCAACAGGAGTAAAGTGATATTTTGGACTAAAATTTAAACATTATTTATTAAATAATATTTAATATTAAAACAAGTTGTCAGAGTTTTTACCAGCAGTTTCTGACAGAACAGTGCACTTGAATAACAAGACAAATTGACTCTGTGTTATGAAACTACATTAAACCTCAATATTAAATATGGCGTAATGCTTTACAAATTGGCAAATATTTGAATTTCCAATAAGATAGCTAAGAGCACTAAGAGAGCTTCACAGGATGTGCAGTCACACTGCATGGTTGCACATAAACAGGATACCACAGGTTCACATTCCAGAAGGCTGGTAATGACTGTCCATTTCCACACTAGACAGCAGAGAACTGTAGGTATTTGTTTGTGTTCATCTCACAGATTGGTCCTAGTTTTACAGCAATAGAACAATATGACATTAAATATGTCAGTCTCATTTGGAATGGAATCAAATTTGAAACGGACAAAGGTGAAGTCAAGCAAAAACAGCCCACTGGGTTGCTTTGATAAAAAACTTATCTTGTTTAAATTAAAACTGCTGTTTACCTGTATGATTATCAAGTAACAAAGCTATTAAAAAAAAAACATTTATATTAATCTACTTTGTTGTCTGTAGGCATATTCAATAAATGGGTTTCTGTTGGAAATGATGAACAATATATTCTTTACTTTTTTCCAGAATTGGCAGACGTCCTGTTCTCATGGCTACCAGCTTGTGCCAGTTTATTTTTGGGGTCACGGTAGCATTTACAGGAAACTACTATCTCTTTGTGGTGATGCGATTCCTTCTCGCCACGGTAAGCTGATTGGTCCATATTCTGAATGTCTGCCTTTATATCTGCATTCACAAATGCTTACATCGAATGCCTCTTAAATTACAATTCTGCAGGTAGTTCATAATCTGAGGGATGGTGGTGATATCGCCAAGTCTGATTAGATAAAGTCCTGTGAACTGACGTCCATTTTTATTCGATACTTAACATAAATATCAACCAAAACATGCAAACACACTAGATATCCTAAAAACTAACAATACAGATACTAACATCTAAAAAAAAACTATATTTTAATTTCATGGAACCTTTAAAGCTGTTTCTTTAAACATCAGTCTTTCCATCTGTTCCCTTTTTTCTTTGTTTATTCCACACTCTTTTTTACTTGCTGTTTCATTTTAATTTAAAATCTAAATCCCATCATAGTGCAATCATCTAAGACAAAACTGACCAGAAACAACTAATCAAATTTAACATGTCAAAAACAGCCCCCACCCAAAAAGCTTCTTGTTTGCCGAAATAAAGTCAAAATAAATCAGTTGTGAATGTCAACTGCATTAAAACAGTTTCCTAGATTTTAATATATCAGATTATTGATTTAGAATGCGTAATTAACTCAGTTTATGTAGAAAGCTAAATTAATTTACCACAATTTTTGATAAAATATCGTAATGAGGTAGAAACACACACACACACACACACACACACACACACACGCTAGAAATGTATAAACTCACATTCAGCCCATCTAAAATGTAGCTTAGTTTTTTGTAAAACATTAGATCAAATATCTTTAGTTGAAACCTTGCTTCTTGGTGATATATAAAAAGCTAATCAACTGCTACTGACACTTTGAGAGGTCAAATCAGTCATTTCATTTTATAACACTTTAATGCAGTGTCAGGAGCCATGGGTGTTAATTTACTATGATTTGTTTGGACTCTCACGGTGATGTTTGCCATTGACTTGCATTCTGAGAATTACCAAGAACCACAGTTTGAGCTCAACAATCACTTTACTTAAGTAATCTGTTTTACTGTAAAGTCACCTATGTCTTGGATGGAATAAATGAGTAGCATATTTTCATTTTTGGGTTAACAATTTCTTTAAAAATCAACATCTCTGGAGGTAAAAAAAAAAAAAAACTCATACAAGAAAATGCTTCATTGCCATCTGTGCTGTTTCCACCTGACTGTCGATTAATTTAGCCTAAATTGTTCTTTCTGTGTGTTGACAGGTATCAAGTGGGTATCTTGTTGTAGTCTTTGTGTACGTGACAGAGTTTACAGGAATTAAGGTGCGCACATGGACCTCTATGCATGTGCACGCAGCCTTTGCTGTTGGCATTATGGTAGTGGCTCTAGTGGGTTACCTTGTTCGCGTCTGGTGGATCTACCAGATCATCCTCACACTCAGTACCTCCCCGTTCTTACTTTACTGCTGGAAGTTTCCTGAAACGCCTTTCTACCTGATGGCTAAAGGCCGGTACAAGGAGGCCCAGGAGCTGTTGGACACTATGGCCTACATCAATGGCCTGCCACCCACACTTAAGGTAGACTCACTCAATAGCAATGCACAGAATTCTGTCATAATTATGCAGATAGCAGACATTTTTCAGAATCTTTTGGAAAAAAAAGGTAGTTCCACCATAATTGAATTGATTTAAAACATTCTGTAAAAATTGATGGGCACCTCATGTTAAAATAAAGAAATAGAAATAAGTTGCACACAGTAATAAATTGGTACTGTGTGTTAAAATGTACATAAAAAGAAATGCACGAAAACTTCAAAATCTACTACACATGCAGTATATTATCAAAATGTGCAATGATAGTAGCAAATAGAACATATTTCATCACATTTTTTACAATTACAAACCTACACTAAAATTTGAACCTATACACTTTCCTGATAATATTATAAATATTATAATATTGTAAGGGATTAATAAAAAAATTAGAAGTTTTGTAAGCAATGTGGTAAACTAATGTTTACTTCCAATGCTTCACTGATCTTAGGTGTCAGATTTACAAGATGGATGTGATAGAACACCACTGAAGGATAATAAACAGGCAATGGAAGTTGAGAAAAGGCTGAGCATGCTGGACATGTTTGGAAGCTTGAAAATGGCTGGCCGTAGTGCCACCTGCTGGGCTATCTGGTTTATCGGAAGCTTGGGATACTACGTCTTTAGCCTGGGCTCTGTCAACTTGGGAGGAAACCAGTATATCAACCTCTTCTTGGCTGGTAATGTGACTAATGTGTGCGCATGTATTGATGCAGTCTTATGTCATTTTAAACATGTTATATATATATATATATATATATATATATATATATATATATATATATATATATATATTTTTTTTTTTTTTTCAAATAATGGGCTGTTTTCTATTGTCTTGCTATAACAATGAATGGAGCGTGTAGCTGTTAAATTTGATGGAGGAGTATTATAAAAGCATCACAGGAGTGGTTTGTGCACTTATTCATACAGGGACAATTCTGTACATTTTTACATTGTGTTGTTTTATTGCCATTTCAAAGTGTGACTTATACTACCTGTGTTTTGGTGGTATACAATAGGATTCTGTATAAAATTGAAAAACAAAACAAAAAAATTGAAATTAAAATCCTAACTTTTACTTATTGGTTGCCCCCAAAGCACCTGGAATATGTACCTATTGACAAATGACATTTTGTACACATGTGACCATTCTTCAATAATTTAGCATTTTCCTTTAAGGGTTAGTCCAGCCAGAAATAAAAATTATGTTAATAATTACTCAACCTCATGTCGTTCTTATCCTCTGAGACCTACGTTTGTCTTCTGAATATTTTGGATGAAATCTGAGCGCTCTCTCATCTTCTATACAGCTGCAGTCCTGAGAAGTCCAGTAAAGGGAACCAAAAACATAATTAAACCATTCCATGTAACTTCATGTGATTACAGTTGAAGTGAATCACATCAAAGTGCCAAAAACACCTTTGTGCAATAATAAACAAATTACTTTATTTGCCTTTGTCTTCTCTCCTGCATCAGGTTAGGGAGTGCATACACTACAGACAGTATGATGTGTTGCCATTACAGCAGCATATTGCCTGTGGTAAATTCACATCCCAATCTGACACAGAAGTCATAGGTGAACAGGGTCATTTTTACAGTTTTTTTCTGGACTATGTATGTCTCAAAACCATTGCAGTCAATGGAGGATGAGGTGGTTATCGAAAATCATCTAAAATATCTAGATAATTTGTGTTCCAAAGATGAGAGGGACTGGAACAACATGAGTGTGGATTATTGACAACAGACTTTTTATTGGGTGAACTAACACTTTAAAAGCTTAATGCAGATTGCTATTCAGTGGTTTTAAACTTATGAGCACGAGCACAAACCTTTTTCAATAAAACAATTATATTTAGTCAAACTGCTAATTTTAGATCAAAATTTGTTTATGAAAATACAACAAAACTGACAAAAACATTTAAACACCTTTAGGATATAACCTTGCACTGAATTAATTTTCATATTATACTACATTAGCAGTACATTCAATATACTTTTTCTGGCTGTTGTTAGGTGCTGTTGAGGTTCCTTCGTACCTGATTGGCTGCTTTGCAATGGATCGGTTTGGTAGGAAGAAGACATGTGCCCCGGCTCTACTGCTCGGTGGAGTGGCCTGCATGCTTATTATTGTGGTGCCCCAGGTATGAGATCTATTGAGGAACATGCAAACTCAAATATAGCAGTTTAATTACAATGAAACACATCATTGTAAATTGTTGAATGTTTTACTTTTAGTTATGGCATCAAATTGGTGGTATTGAAGGAGGCTCTTATGGTAAAACATGATGCAAAATGCTTGCATTGCAAATTTTAAACATTATTATATTATTATATATAATTAATGTCCTGTTTGTGGCACATTAGTATATGTGAGGGGGAAAACTTTTCAAGATGGGTGGTGACCATGGTGGCTATTTTGAAGTCGACCATCCTGGATCCAACTTTTGGAACTTTTAGGAAGAGGGTCATTTGACACATCAAACTTATTGGGAAGATACAAGATATGCAGCACTGGAAACTACAGATACTTGAAGCCTGTGCTGGCATTTCTCCGGCGGTGGCCGTCTTCAAAATGGCCACCATTGTCACCACCCATCTTGAAAAGTTTGCCCCCTTACATATACTAATGTGCCACAAACAGGAACATTCCCATTTTATTAAGATGTATCCATATAAAAGGCCCACCCTGTGTGTGTGTGTGTGTGTGTGTGTGTGTGTGTGTGTGTGTGTGTGTGTGTGTGTGTGTGTGTGTGTATACACACACACACACACACACACACATACATAATAGAAAACAAAATATGCTTATTTTTAAAAAAGGATTGCTAATAACTTTTGCTCAATCAATCGATTGATCAATCAATCAATCAATCAATCAATTGATGTCTGTACAGTTGACAGTGTAGCTCCAATAAACCCTTCAACTGAGGGACTTTGCTTAGTGCATCGGCTATCGGTTAAACTGAGATTTGGGTGTTAAGCTAAGAGTGAAGGCAGATGAATGTTAGCTATCAGGAGTGCATATAAGTGGCACAAATAACTGGAGAACAACTGCAAACATCATTGGTTTATTCATTTAAGAACGTTCTTTTAGAAAATAGATAGTGAAGTTTTGTTGAGCTTTTAAGAAAAACACACACTTTAAAATGAATTTGCTACACAGAAATCTAAACGCTATTTCTCAGTTTGGTACTGCTTTAGGTTAGCTTTAGTTATATTACACTGTACTGACATTTAAATTAATCATTTGGTGCAATCCACTTATTATGTACAAGAGTGCTTTTACTTATATTTTAAAATGTATCTCCGTGTAATTCATTTCTGTAATTGCATTTATAATTACATCCCTTACAATTGAACCCACACTACTACCAAACTATACTGTTCAACACTTCAATAGTACCTCAAGCACAATACAAGACGAACACAATAAGAACATTGTAATAATTTGTTGACGTGAGTGCCTAGTAGTTAAGGGCACTCAAAATAAAGTGGGGCCTTTAATTTCATAGAGCATTTATGGCAGTTGGCAGGCCGTTTTGAGCAATAAATGAAGCACAAAAGAAATTACTATTTTGAGGGAAGTACGTGTCTCAAATTGATTTTTGTTCTGATTGACCTAGAATCAATATGCAATATGCAAGCTAGTGTTGTAATCATCATTTAGTTCCTGGGAGGAACTGGGTGATTATTGAAATGAATGATTAACCCTGGCAGCAGAGTGCATGTGTGCGTGTGTTTGTTTTTCACATGGTAACTGAGGCAGCTGCTTGCATCTCATGTTCTGTATTTAATGAATCTTTCTGCACCCAATTTCTCCGGTTTCTTTCCGTAGAGCTTTAACAGCAGTGATACATTTATTATACTTTTAAGTTTTGATTTTAACAGGTCCCATATTCCATAAACTGACAAGTGTGAGTAAATGGTAGTGAGACAAGTTATACGTTTGTATTTATTATATTTTTGACTTGTGTTTATTATAAAACGATTGGTCACGGCACACACAACCCACCTCATGTACTATGGAAAGGGGCGTGTAATCATTGTGACAACATACTGGCAGCTGTGTTGGTATAGCAACAAGGTTTTAAAAGCACCGTCTATTCTATTTAGAGGATGTGAATTTAGTGCAAAAGCTTGTGTAGATTAGAAGAGGACTATGTTCTTCGCTATGAAACCCTCACTTCTAACTCCCTAGTAGGATTTGTGGTATTGGAACACCTTTAAAGCAACAGTTCACCAAACAAAGAAAAATCTGACATCAATTTCTTTCACGAATTTTATACCAGTTTCAGTTTTTTTATATTTAAAAAAAAATAATAATAAATAAATAGATAATGATAATAATAATAGGCGAATTAGTGGCGCAGTAGGTAGTGGTGTTGCCTCACAGCCAAGAAGGTCGCTGGGTCGTTGGTTCAAGCCTCGGCTCAGTTGGCGTTTCTGTGTGGAGTTTGCATGTTCTCCCTGCGTTCACGTGGGTTTCCTCCGGGTGCTCCGGTTCCCCCACAGTCCAAAGACATGCGGTACAGGTGAATTGGGTAGGCTAAATTGTCCGTAGTGTGTGTGGATGTTTCCCAGAGATGGGTTGCGGCTGCCCTTAATAAAGGGACTAAGCCGACAAGAAAATGAATGAATGAATAATAATTATAATAATAATAATAATTAGGTTTTTATAGGATAGATTTTTTCTTCTATTGAACACTACATAATAAATTTTGAAGAAAGCTGGAAACCTGAATTGTTTATATATATATATACACACACACACACACACACACACACACACACACACACACACACACACACACACACACACACACACACACACACACACACACACATATATATATATATATATATACACACACACATATATATATGTATATATATATATATATAGTTGTATGGAAGTGTGTGTGTGTGTATGTGTGTACTTGAAGAAAGCTGGAAACCTGTAACCATTGCCTTTCATAGAATTAGTCACTATTACTATTGAGATTAATGGTTACAGGTTTTCAACTTTCTTCAAAATATCTTATTTTGTGTTCAACACAAAAAAAAAACATCCTATAAAAAGCTTATTATTATTATCGAACTTTCCATTTGAGGCTATTTCGGATAAACAATTCTGTTTTTTCTTTTCTTTTTTCTCTGTATTGACCAGAGCATCCGAAATGGAGCAAGTCAAAACATGCCTAAAATCATATTGTGCATGTCACACAGACTGTCAAACTTGTCTGGCTTGAAATTAATAATTAATATCCAGCTGTCTGTTAGACATTGCATCAATGCAGATATTCATATGATGTTATCTTTGGTGTCACGAGACCACTGTTTAAGCATCTGACAGTGGGAATTATTTGCACATAAAAAAATCATTTGAATATGTTAGAAGTAGTAAAAAATAAATAAATAAATAAAAAATGGACTACTTTTCCTCAAAGTCAGTGCCAAATTCACTAAAAACAAGTGGCAGCTTCCTTAACGTGTTGACTTGAGTTGCATATCTGCAGGTTTCAGAATTAGTCTTGGTTCTTGAGTAACTCATGTATGCACATGCCCTATACGTCAGTACAGAATGTATGTTAAATTGCTGGACAAAAACTTAAATGTACTCAATGTATTTTAGAATTGTTTTAACCATTATTGTTTGCAAATGTTGGAAGAATTTATAATAATAAAAATATCTATATAGATTTCTTCTTTAAAAGTATATATAAACACAATTATAAAATCTAAAAAATTATATAATTGCTTACATTAGTTCATAGTACTGTAGGTGGCAACAAGGGGCTGTCTTTATGTGTGCTATTGCTGCATCTGAAATTGCATAGTATGCACTTAAAATAATTGTCAGAATTCCACTGGTAAACAAACACAAACCTACTGTACATTGATAACATGGCAATGTAGTTCATCCAAATTAAATATATATCACACACATTGATACTAATGGTTGCAAAGGAATTATTTATTAAAAATAAGTATCTATCAAAGACTGAGATTTAGGATGCAGGCAATGATTCAAAACATTTTTTATAAAGCACAGAGTCAGAGTGAAAGCAAGGAAACCAGTCACTCTTATTATGAGTGAGTCATTAAATCAGTATTAAGTGATTTAATTAAGTGATTCATTCCAAACAATGGCTACGAGAATGTATTTGGTTTGAAGTAATTACTTTCTAACTGCTTTAAAAGATGTTCTATTTAGTATTAATGATTAAACTACATTTGTCATGTTATCTTAGTCAAATCGACCATAAGCAATAGTTGTATTGCTAAGATACAGTAGTTTTGTTTTGTTCCAGTGGATGTGCAACTCACCTAAAGTAATAGGTCTTTCTGAAACAGTTTGTTACTATTTTATGTATTTAGACATTTCACATACTGCAGTCAATTATTGATTAAAGATGACAAGCGTTAGGGAGTTTCTACAACCACAATTCACATTGATAAACTACTAAGTTAATGTTAATATAACGTTAATGATAACACTTTTTTATTTTGTTGGCAGAGTTTGATTATATATTAGTTTAGCCCACTTTCTAGACAATATGGCAGACATAAAGTACAGTGATGAGATAATTCATCCAAAAATGACAATTCTGTTATAAGTTACTCAACCATGAACTTGTTTCAAACTTAGTTTTCCTTCTCCTATTGATTACAAAAGAATATTAGAAACTGGTGGCCATTGACATCCGGAGTTTTCCTTCTCCTTTTCTACTTCTACTACTAATTCTAATAATAATACTAAAAATAATAACAATAACAACAAATTGCTTTGGCACTTTCAAAAGTAGCGCATAAAAGCACTTTACATGCATATGAGAAAAAAAACAAACAAACATTAAATAAACCTTAGCCCACAGTTTAAACAGTTAAAACAGCTTCAGAAGACCATAGAGCGCACAAAGGGACATCAGGGGTTAAAAGTTCAGTCTAAGGAGCTAAGGCTTTCATTCAAGTCTTTATAAGCAAGCATGAGATTTTTTTTAAAATCAATATTAAAACTGATAGGAAGCAACTTATGCAATTTTCCTAAGATAAGTCTAATGTGCTGTGTTGCACACTGGTCCTTGTGAGAATTCTAGAGTTTTGCACCTGCTTTTGAACCTTCAGCCAACAAAGCATTACAAAAATCAATTCACATAAATACAAAGGTTAACTATTAACTTTTGAGCCACAGAAAAAAAACAGCATGAAGTTTTATTAAATCATTTTTCAATACAATTTTCTAGTGATTTATGTACTGGACTTTAAAAGGATTTGTGAAAAACTTTGTTTACCACTTTGTTTACATTTTATTTAGTTACTATATTCTAGAATGATTCAGCATTAACCCTCATGTTTTAATTTTTACTAAATTCTGTGCAGAAATAGCAAACAATATCTGTAGATTCTGTGTGGCCTTATAAGTAAATAAGTACTACCATATTGACAATTTAACTGTATTAAAGTATTGCAGTTGGTCTGAAATTTTCAAGAAATATCTCAGTCAGTCTTGGTCACTAGCAAGTCACTGAAAACACAAACTTAACTGATCATGTTAGTGGGTTGATATTCCATCAACATCACGCCACCCCTCATCGCTAATAGTTACACTGCTGACATCTGAAATATCCCAATGTGGCTTGAGTACAGCCGCCGTTGCTCCAAAAAATCTTTAAATAGACCTGTCATCTAAGGTAGCTGTTTATACATATGGCAGCTGCCTGCTTCTGAGAGGGGGTTAAAGGGAACATGTCTGGGGGACGTTTAGACTTGTGTCTGATCCCACATTTAATGCAGCCCTACTATGGCCTGCTGCTGGCAACATCTCGCAACAGCTGATTGCCAAAACATTGTTGCAGATGAATATGCTGTAGTTTAACTGTGTGGTTCTCTCTCTTTGTTTCAGGATGTTGAAGTATTGGCTATAGTCTTGAGTATGACAGGAAAATTCGCCATTGCCATTGCATTTGGTCTGATTTACTTGTACACCTGTGAGCTTTACCCCACAATCATCAGGTATGTCTCATTCTAAAACAGAAAATGGAGTTGTCCACAGTAAAGCCTGGAACACACCACAGAACAGAATTTGGCATCATAGAATTGATTGCACTGTAAACATTTATATTATAAGAATGAACTAGGAAGGATCCCACACTGCCATTTCAGGATGCTTTTAAAAGTCAAACTCAAGAAGAAATATGTGGCTGATCTCTGCATGGGAAATTTGATAAATTTCTAAATCTTTAGGCAAGCTCTGACCCATCCAGAAAAAAACAATGTGTAGAGTGTTTCAATCCTAAAGAAATACAGTAGTTCTGCCAAAATAAAAGCATTGTGTACCACTACAATGCTGTCAAACTACCATCACTTTTGTTGATCCTGTTTTTAAAAGTTAGCATTTTCCTGAAAATAAATGAAAAGTCAAAAACCATTGAATGAAATATATTGTGTTCAAATACAGTACATGTTGTTTTTGCATATTGGATCGGTTCTTTTGCTGAATACATCTGACAAAGACATAAGGTTGAAGTAAGAATTATTAGCCCCCCTTTGATTTAGATTTTTTCCCCCACAAATTATGTTTAACAGGGCACAGAATGTTTCACAGTATGTCTGATAATATTTTTTCTTCTAGAGAAAGTCTTATTTGTTTTAAACACCATTTTAAGATCAAAATTATTAGCCCCTTTAAGCTATATTTTTTTCAATAGTCTACAGAACAAACCATCGTTATACAATAACTTGCCTTACCCTAATCTGACTAGTTAACCTAATTAACTTAGTTAAGCCTTTAAATGTCACTTTAAGCTGTATAGAAGTGTCTTGAAAAATATCTAGTCAAATATTATTTACTGTCATCATGGCAAAGATAAAATAAATCAGTTATTATAAATGAGTTAATAAAACTATTTCGTTAAGAAATGTGTTGAAAAAATATGCTGTCTGTTAAACAGAAATTGGGTCAGAATTATTTATATATATATATATATATATATATATATATATATATATATATATATATATATATATATATATATATATATATATATATACATACATACATACATACATACATACATACATACATACATACATACATACATACATACATACATGCACGAATGTTTTTTTAAAGGCTTAATTAGGTTAATTAGGCAAATCATTGTATAATGATGGTTTGTTCTGTAAACAGTCAAAAAAATATTGCTTAAAGGGCACCTATTATGAAAATCATCTTTTGTAAGCTGTTTGGACAGAATTGTGTGCAGGTATAGTGTGTACACAGTCATATTGGAATGACAGAAACACAAAAAGTCTCTTTTTTTTATTTCCTGATGTTAAAATAGGACCCAAATCCCACTGATTTTGAAGCCCTCCGCAACGTGACATAGGACTAAAATACGTAATGCTGTGGAATAAATCCCTGCTCTGTTAAACATCATTTGGAAAATATTTGAAAAAGAAATAATAAATTCCTAAGAGGGCCAATAATTCTGACTTCAACTATACTGTATATGTATCTGGTCCGGCAGGTCTTTGGCTGTAGGGAGTGGTAGTATGATGTGTCGGGTGGGAAGTGTTGTGGCTCCTTTCTGTGTTTACCTTGCTGACATCTGGATCTATCTGCCGCAGGTATGTACCAATTCCACAAGGCTACACAGATTAACTATTTCAGTGTTCACATGAACTAACTGTAACCCTCCGTATTATTAGAAGTAAAAGATAAAAACACAGGAATTAATATTACAGACCCAGTTTCGACCTGGTAATGTTACATTTTTTTCTCTCCTATTTATTTTGTAGCTCATCGTGGGAATTCTGGCGTTCATCATTGGGATCTTGACTATGTTTCTGCCAGAGACTCTGGGAGAGCCCCTTACCTCCACTTTGGAAGAAGCTGAAGCTCTTGGCTCAAAGCCCAACACAAAGAACACTGAAGTGAATGCACTAGAGATGAACCAATCCATCAAAGCTTAAATCCTTTTTCACACAGGATTCCAGAAAGTGCCTCTACTGGACTGACAACAGTACTCTATGATACAATCTTTTTTTTTTTTTTTTTTTTTTACAAATACGATAGTTGTTTGGTGCGGGCTTTTTTTTTTTTTTGGTGGATGAAGCCGTTGTGTGTGTGTATGTGAGTTTGAGAGATAAATATTAACAGTATATTTAACTGTGATTGTGAAATTTTATAATTTTATCTTAATTTTAACAGTTTACAAGGCAGGACCTGGTGTATCCAAACCACTATAACATTTTTTCCATTTCAGCCTGTTCACTTATGCATATTTTAATGTGCTGACATATACACAGTGTAGTTTAAGCAGATAATATGTTGAATTGTTTGTTGGAAAATAAGTATAAGCACTGATAAAAACAATAGCTAAGAAATCCGTGTTATCGAAATAACGGAATTTCACATCAAACCTTTGCTGTTAAATGCATTCGATTTATTGATTTGTCAAAATTAGTAGAATTTAAGAAATCCAAATCTATGCTTGATTTTGAAGCTGATTCTTAGCTGTTTTTAATTATATTTTATTAGGAATGTAAGCAAACATTTTGATGCATTAATGTGTTAAAGGTGCTGTATGTAAGTTTTTGACTCTTATTAAATATCTTAATATGTTTTCAGATATTTAAGAAACGCGCTATGTGAACATTCTTGTTTATCTGAAAAACAATGCTGAAGTCAGATATTCTGCTTTGAAAATGTGCATTACATGCCGAAATGTCTGTCTTTGTTTTGGTTCTTTTTAACCCACCCAATGACAGTTTAGTCAATTATATTTCAGCACAGCGGGTTGCCTTTGTGGAAAACTGCGTATTTCGTTTATTCATTCAGCATGCGTCCGAGACCGAAATGCGACCTCCGGTGGACATTGATATTTGAAATAAGACCCAGATTCTTAGTTCCACATGAGGGTATTAATAAGCAAATAATACAAATATTACAAATGTAAGCATTAGGTGAGTAGGTTACAATGTAACACTGTGTCCTAACAGTACGTTATGTGATGAGATTTGCAGTGATAATCAATTTGGCTGTTTGCACCAGACTATTCCAGAGAAATGTAAATGCAGCCATTCAGAAGCACAGAATATTCCCTCACTCACGAAACGGTTAGGTTTATAATCTAATTAATACATATTAAACCACTTTAACATTATTAATTGTACATGCTGAATCACTGATATGCGTTTTATTTTCACAGATCTGAAGTTCAATTTCTTAAGGTTTATTTTATTTTCAAGATCTGAGTTGAATTATCTGCTGTTGCTTTCAGTAGAATGGCAATAAATGTCATGTAAAATGGTATTCAAACTCATATTATTAGCATTTAACACAAACACTTGTTAGTTTTCTGTTGTTCACCTGTGAGAAATAGAAACCATTTTTGAAATATCAATTTGAGGTGTTTGTCAGAACAAAAACTCCTTTTAATATGGAAAATATTCCCTCTACCCTGTGCCTTTGCTTTTATTTAGAACATGATTTAAATCAGCCTTTAGGCTCGACCGTCAGACTTGCTCCTTAATCTGGTAACCTGCGCTTGCATTTGTTTTAATTCAGGAATGTAATACCTAGTTCAACCATTGGGTGTCAAACTTACATACTGCACCTTTAAGGATTTTAAACCCCATCTAACCTTGTCCATTGACAATATTAGCACAAGCATTGCTTCAGTTGATAAAAGAAACTTTAGTTTCTTATGAGTTACAGTAACAATGTTAGTTTTTATTCATTAAAAGTCAGATCTTTCAAATTGTATAAAGTGGTTTTATACAATTGCATCTCAGGGTTAAGCTCCAAATTGGTGAGTATTGTTCATAGTAAACTGTGACTGTACTTTAGAATACTTAAAAACTTTACGTATTTTTATTTTAATTTAATCCTCCTTTCCTGTGTTCTCGGTTGCTATGTATAGGAGAGGCCTTTTTGTTGTTTTTGTTGAAGATTTAATAGTAGTATTGTGTGCTAAAATTGTTGTTGTTGTTTCCCTCAAGCTCTTAAATCTGTGGTGTGTTTTTGGACCAAAGAGACAGGGATAGTAATTTCTTACTGTAGTTGAACATAGTTGTCATGGCAACATGCTTATCCATAAAATGTAATATATAAATAAATATCTTTAACACAGAGCTGTTTCACAAAAAAATATACTGGTTTCAAATGTTGGTAATAGCAAGCTTTAAATGTGCTGTTCTCCTACCTTTAATTCCCTGGTGAAAAAAAAAGAGACTCTCATGGAAAAGGTGAGAAATATTTTCCAGGTTAACAGGAGTAAGGCAGGCGTTTCTCATTCGCTGTGACAGAGGGGAGGAGGCCCAGGACAAGATGTGTACAGCCAGTTCTTACTAAAACAAGATGAAAAAAAACAAAAACAAAACAAAAAAACAGACATCAATAAAAGTATATCATTGCAGTCAGAGTTTCTGATTGTATACACTACCTGACAAAAGTCTTGTCGCCTACCCAAGTCTTAGGAACAACAAATAATAACTTGACTCGAAGTTGATCATTTAGTATCAGAAGTGGCTTATATGAAAGGCAAATGACACTATATTATGCTCATTTTACCAAAATAAAATCTGATCATATCTCAATTTTTAACGATTTAATTAGAACAGTAAGGTCTGACTTTGCTTAGACAAAAGTCTTGTCACCTAACAGAAATAATGTACAGTATAGAAAATAAAGTCATGGTGCATTGGAAAAAAGAATTAGTGTGACTCCCATGAGCTTGGAAGTCTGCATCCATACATCTCTGCAATTACTCAAATAACTTAAAGTCATCTGGAATGGCAAAGAAAGCGTTCTTGCAGGACTCCCAGAGTTCATCAAGATTCCTTGAATTCATCTTCACCTTCTCCTCCGTCATCTTACCCCAGACATGCTCAATAAAGCTCACAGCGGAATGAACCGCCAACTTATCCAGCACATGTTTTAAGCAGTGGATGCCTTTCCAGCCGCAACCCATCTCTGGGAAACATCCATACACACTCATTTACACTCATACAGTACGGACAATTTAGTCTACCCAATTCACCTGTACTGCTTGTCTCTGGACTGTGGGGCAAACCGGAGCACCGGAGAAAACCCACGCAAATGTGGGGAGAACATGCAAACTCCACACAAAAACGCCTTTTGACCCAGCTGAGGCTCAAACCAGCTACCTTCTTGCTGTGAGGTGACAGCACTACCTACTGCGCCACCATGACGCCCTACTTTTCCAAATGATCAACTAAAAATCAAGTTATTATGTGTTGCTCTTACAACCTGGATCGATGACAAGACTTTTGTCAGTTAGTGTATAAAGACACTATTGTGTTATTGATTTAAAACTTTGCTGAGCATTCACATAACAGCATGTTCTTCCTGTGTTTATTGGAGTGCTATTGTAAGCAGAAGCATATTTCACAAATGAATCTCTATTGTGATTTGAACAATCTAAGTGGGCCTACTTTACACATCCCACACAACAAATTCACCCACTCGTTTATAGTGCAGTCTGTTTCAAACTTCTGCCTAACAGTGGTGCTTTTTATCACAAACACTGTGATATTGAGAAAAATCATATTACTCATGAGCAAGAACAAACTTTTCAGCCGCCTTCACAAAACGATGAGGGTGGAGGACGGGCGGTGGGGGTTGTGGGCGCGCTTGTACCCTACTTATGCATGTGGTGTTTGGGTTATCAGTGCTGGCCTACAAACACAAATAGAAATGATCTCTTGTGGACAGGGCCAGCTGGACACTGCACTTTGACCCTGCTAAGATACCCGGCTAAGCACAAACACACATGCTCACACTGACGCATGCCTATTTCAGAACAAACCTATTTCAGAAGACAGATCTAACCAGTCGAAAAGCTTCCTTGAACACACATTTGTACAAGACAGTGTGCTGAGAGACTCATTACATTTAGCTGTTTTTTTAGAAACAAGGTAAAAATGTAATATAGAATCAAACAGTTGAGTAAGCAACTATTTGCTTAAAATGATTTGGAATAGATGTTTATGTGCAGCTAAATCACGACTTTGAAAATCATTGCAAAGCTAATGCAGCTGGGGCTTAGCGAAGCAATGGCTCCTTCCTGTGTTGAACTTGGGAAATGCACATTGGCTGGAAATGCAGTATTTTCAGAGCACTTGCTCATCTTTAACTTAGTTAACTGGCAAAGAAAAGGTCGTTCATGACAAATGTCTAATGAATCATTCCATTATCATTGAAGGTGCACTGTTTCATTCTGAAAATTAGAAAAGGCTGATTTAACATTTTAGTTTTCATTAAGCGAAAATGGGGCATCACGGTGGCGCAGTGGGTAGCACAATCACCTCACAGCAAGAAGTTCGCTGGTTTAGTTGGCATTTCTTTGTGGAGCCTACAAGTCAAATGACATGCGCTACAGCATGCCTCAGATTAATAAAGGGACTAAGCTGAAAAGAAAATGAATGATTGAATAAAGTGAAAATGAGACATCTTACACATTGTATGCATTCATTGTCTACAGATAGGTACAGACTGGCGACAAGTGAATAAAATTAAAGGCTCATTTTCCCTTTGTTAATGCAAACCACATATATTTAGCAAAAAAAAATAAACATTGAAGTTTTCACTCTTATTTGCAAAGTAAAATACTTAAAGGATAAAAAAATGTCCTCATTACAACCTAAATAGTTTAAAATAATGATTAAATAGCTTAACTAAGTTTTTTGTGAAGATAGTTTATTTATAATTATGTGGGCTTCTAAGAATGGACATCATTTTGTTTAGCACATACGGAAAAGTTGTATGTGTGTGAGTGGCAGTTTTGTGACAGTGCACAAAGTATTAATGCATTGAAATTATTATTGTTTCTGATATCGTTTTCTTTATACATATATAAAGAAGAGTTCTTCCTGTAGAGTTCAGCTCCAACTCTGATCAAACACAACAAAATAGGATCTGAAGGAGCACTTGGTAGGCCCAATTAACAAGTGGTGCTCGCTGCAGAGCCATTTGGGTAGAGCTGAGCTCCAGCGAGGGGGAGCTTGAGCTCTCGCTCCTCCTTTTTTGCACTTCTTCTACGAGTGATGTCACTGGGGGTAGGGTTAGGGGTGGGGTTGGTGTACGCATTAAAACAGCTTATAAGAGGATGAGCGAGAGCTCATGCTCCCCCTAGCTGTGGCTCAGCTCTAGACAGGTGCGTTTTTTCAAGGTTGCAACTCTGCAGGACGGTAGATCTCCAGGATGGACACTCCTAACAAAAATCCTTAAATTTAATAAAATGTTAAATACCTGTTTAAAAAAAGGCCACTGATGATGGTAGAAAAAAAAATCTCAAAGTGGAAAAAATATTAAAACATGATAATTTTAGTTGACTTTTTAATTACATTTCTGTCTTTTGTGGGCCTGTGTAACGTTAGAACCTTTTTAGAAATTGATGCACAAGTCACCCTTTTGTTACATTAATCCTTAACAAATGCAAAGGTTATCTATCCTGTGTAGGCCATTAGAACAATGTTGTTGCTTACCTTCTCTTAGACTGAATCCTTGAAAGTTCGTTCAAAGTGACAGAATTTGGGGGAGAAAAAAAGCACAGACCACATTTTGAAGATTTTGAGTCCTCACATGGACCCATCGTTTTAAATCACGAATGAACAGTTCTTAATCATGTCAATAAATCTACTTGTGTAAAAAGTGTGCTTAATAATTAAGAAAAACAACGGTACAGTGCAAGTATTTTGTTTGTTTACACGCTAGCTTACCCCGCAGCTGTCCGAATCTCTTTCGTTCAAACCACTATTCAAAAGTAGGCGGGACGGGGCAGTTTCTTCAGTTCTGCAGTCCAATCAAATGCGCTTTAACGCCTCATACCTGAAAATGATTTGCTCACGTCTTTGTCAGTCTTTCAAAGAGGGGAAAATTATCACGCGTTTACAGTACAGTCAAATCAAGTTGTGTCCGAATTCCGAAACCGCTCACTCATTAATTAATCCGCATGTTCTCCGACTCCCGTTGTTCACGCGGGTTTCCTCCAGGTGCTCCGGTTTCCCAGTACTGGGCTGCAGCTGGAAGGGCATCCTCTGTGTAAAAGTTAGTGGTTCATCTGCTGTGGCGACCCATGATGAATTTAGGGACTAAGCCGAATGAAAATGAATGAATGAATGAATTAGCTTTTAATTTTAGAAATCGACAATATAATAGATAAGTTTAACAAGTTTCCCCATAAACATGTGTTTGGATTGATCTATTTTTAGAAACATTTTCTCAAACAGACACTTCTTATTCATGGTTGAATGCTTAAAAAACAAAAAAACAAATGCTGTTAAAATGCTTTTATTTTGAGAGCTTTCCCATTAAAGGTGCAGTTAATTTGTAAAATGTTAGCCATTTCATTTAGATTTGGTATCCAAAGATTGGTCACTCCAGCTGACCTTTAGTAATAAGCAGACATCATATGAATTAATATTTTCCAGCTGTTAGATGGCAAAAACAAAAATGTATCTGCTCTTTTTTTTGGTTTCCTGAGATTTGAACATGGAATGCAATCATCAAAATTAACAGTATACAATAAATTAAACAATATAAAAATTCACACTGAACACAACAAACAAACAAACAAACAAACAAACAAACAAACAAGTACTGGCAAGTTTAAATGGGAAGTGTTAAATTCTGCAAGAGCTTGTAGCTATTATAACAACTATGTAGTCTTTTATCAATTATTTAACTTTACCAGAATAGTTTAACATAAGGTTTTCATGACCAGTAATGAATACAAACGGACCTTCCTTACTTCTGGATAAGTGTTGATCTGTGAAGTTGATCATTTAGAAAAAAAAGTAATTTACAAAATAAAACTCCCCAAAATGTTCACATTCATTGTTTTGATGTCCTGTTGTCAAACTTGATTTCCAATGTGCTGTTTGACAGCCTCCTTTATCACGTTCATTCACCTCTAAAAACATATTCACTTTAATATTATGGCCTTGTTTACTTTGTTTTATATCATGATTCTGCCAGAACATTAACCACTGGCAAACAGTTACGGGGTGATAGACTCTTCCCTAATAGTTCTGCAATATACACTGCAGATCAATTGAACAAAATTGCATTGCTGCTCTAAAAACACAGTTTCCATTTTCATTTCAGGGTGAACTATAATTTTAAGTCCTCTTAGCACTTGATGTAGGAAATGGGAACTCAATGGCCAATTGCATGCAATGACAGACCAGGCAAAAAAAGAAAACTTTAACATCCACTCAATTCTGTGCTGCATCTTGCAGACATTCATTGTACAACACCTTTCATTTTTAATATAAAAAAGGTCTTAGCACTGAACTTCTGGCACAGTATCGCAGCAGGTTTCTGGAACCAGAGGAGGAAGCGAGTAACAATAAACTGATTAGATCTGACTTGTGATTACAGCTTCATCTTCTAGGTTTAAACCTTGGCACTTTGAAGGTTTGGCACTTTGCTATGATCCTAACTTGTCTCCATTGTGTGGTCTGAATGTGTCTGCATGAAAGCATGGGCTGATTTGAGTCCAAGGTCACTCAGCTTCCAGGCCTAAAAATTAGCCTTCCACAGCATGTCGATCTGCTAATTCATCTCTTCATTTTGACAATCCAGCAACATCCCTGTAATTCCAGTTGGGAAATGACCATAACCAACTGCTCAATTTCATAAACATGTAACCGTCTGTTCCTTAAATAACTACTCAGCGCTTCTCACAACAGTGTCTTGAAGGGCCGTCCCGTTAAAAACACAGGGATTACTATTACACACCCAGTTTTGACTAGGGAATGTTGACTCTACCTCCTTGTCGGATGTAGACACCAAGCTTATGAGTTATCTGTCGTGCTTAAACCACAGCTATGACTCAAGGCTGAACCAACCATATATTGGCATCTTCTTGGCCAATGTCATCTTCCTCCTCCTCTTCCTCCTCCTCCTCTTCCAAAGGCTCATGAGTCCTGAGGGCAAGTTCACGGAGGAAGTCAGGTTCGTGAGCAGAGTTCTGGGAGGAGGACTTGAGGCCAATCTTCTTCTTGGTCAGATGGAACTGGTCACGAATAAAGTTGTAAAAGTCATACTCGTACTTCATCCTTTGGTAAAGTACCTGCAGAGCCTCTATAGTGGGCATGTGCTTCTTCACTGTTCCGGTAAGGTTCCCCATCTTCCAGAATGCTGCAGAAAAGGCACAAGTACAAAACTATGAGTCAAAGACGAAGCAACAGTGTTGCCAATACTTTAGTTCATACGTCTCAAACTAGATTTCTGAAGGGCCACAGGTCTGCATAGTTTTGCTCCAAACCTAATCAAACACAGCTTATCCAACTAATCATGGTCTTCAAAACTGCAAGAAACATTTAAGCAGGTGTGAGATGAAGGTGGTTGGAGAAAAACTGCAAAGTTTGAGACCACTGCTTTAGTTTATGTACCAATTCTTACTGTTAATTAGTAACTTACGACCTTTCATTTATTTTATTTTCAGCTTAGTCTCTTTATTAATATGGGGTCGCCACTCGCCACAGCGGAAAGAACTGCCAACTTATTTAGCATATGTTTTACGCAGCGGATGCCCTTCCAGCTGTAACCCATCACTGGGAAACATCCATATGCACTCATACACTATATACAATTTTAGCTGACCCAAATCACCAATAGCGTATGTCTTTGGACTTATGGGGGAAATAAGAGCACCTGGAGGAAACCCACACGAACATGGGGAGAACATGCAAACTCCACACAGAAATGCCAACTGACCCAACCAAGGCTCGAACCAGCGACCTTCTTGCTGTGAGACGATCGTGCTAGCCACTGTGATGCCCCGACTTATGACTTGTCTATTTTTGAAATATTGTCTGTTTATTGGTACTTATAAAGTACACATTCTGCATGATCTTATTCTACATCCCTAATGTTAGCTAGCCTATAATGTTTCTCTTTCAATACTGAACTGCTTTCTGAGTTTAAAAATGACTGCTTAAGTTATTAAGAATAGGAACAAGTTATTCTTTATTAAGAAAACAATATGTTTGTAACATTTTTTACTTATTAATTCAGTTTATTTCCTCAGTAATGAAATATTTTTACTTTGATGCTGCTATAAATATAAATGTATATTATTATGTGAATGTTCCAGCGTGTAAAATACTTTATTAAATGTTCTCATATTATCTGGTAAGTATTTCATTTGTAAATGCAATCAGTTTCATCATTTATCATTTAATGATCCATTAATGTTTTTTTCATTTTCTCTGTTTGAATGAATTAAAACCTTTAGACAGTGTCCTGCAGCCACCTACTAGGTGGTTTTAATTTAATATTTGTATACATTGTAGCCTAATTAAAGTTACAAATAATTTCATAATCTAATAATACTGCATTTTAATCTTATAATTAAAACGCAGTCTCCTTATTGTTAGAAGTCACTATCTAACTATATCTGTAGCAAATATGCAGCTAAGTAAATTCTCTATGGGGAGTTTTGTGTAGGTGGAGGTAAAAATACACTGCGTGTAGTGAAACCTGACAGCATGTGAACATCACGTGAAAAGGGTTTACTGTTTGTTAATAATGAGAATTGTACCTTAAAATGAAATGTGATTAAAGATTGTAGCACATGCTTCAGTTATCATTGGTTTAAAGATTAAAGATGAGTTTAGGGATCAAAACTAATAATAATGGCTAAATAATATGCAAATGCCACAAATACTTCTAATAATACATACAAAGAGGTCAGCTGCAAAAATAACTCTTCATGCCTTTTCACAGCATGTCTTTAGTTAATCCTGACAGTAGTTTTTAACACTAAAATATATTGCTGCATTGGTGTAAGTAAATCAGGGCATCATTTTTTAAAATTATCAAATAAATGTTTGTTTATTTCCACTTCTATGTTATTTAATTTACCCTTCACATTTACCTTTATTATTTGAATTTCTCACATTTTAATTCAGAGTAACTGAATAAAGCACACCTGGACTCTTGTAGATGGTTAGGACATCACTAAAGTAGTGAGGTAGAAGTCTCTCCAGCAAGAGTAATACATCCTCCAGCTCCTCCAGAATCCCCACAAGTAGAAAGTTCTCTATAACATTTTGTTTGGCCCTCTCCACTGCCCACATACCCGGCTCCCTGTAGCAGACAAATATAATAAACATTTTTTTGATAAAGCATGCAATAATAATACTGATAATACTGTTTGTGAAAATAAACAGCACATATAATGTTTATACTGCAGTCACTGAACACTTTATTATAACACTATACAAATCCGAGTTCCTCGGGTTCTGTGACTGTCACTACAAGAAGAGTTTGCTTTTAGATTGCATTACCTGCACTGAGGGTGTTGTCCACAAAAGTATGGAACGATGTAGAAGAGGCGAGGGTTTGAGCACTCTGGGTAGTTCTCCATGATACACACGTTAATGTCCTGCAGTGAAGAAATGGGAAAATGAGTCAGACAGAGATACAGCCAAAAACTACGCAAAGCATAAAAAAAGAAGAAAAAGTGCTTATAAATCATAGATTAGCAGATGCATCCAAAGTACCGCCGAACTGTTTGAAAGAACACAAGGGGGCGCCACTCACATAAGCAAAGTTAAAAGCTGCGTTCCATTCTGAAGGGCTCATTCCCATACCCTATGAAGGATTCACTTTACAGTGTGAGCTTTGAAAAAGCGAAACATGATGGGGACCATAAAGCTGCAAAGATTCTTTCAAATAAACGAACAGCATCCATCACTTGCTCCCTTTAAAATCTCTGGTTTGAAGCACCTGTGCTGACTTCAAAGTGGCCTTTGGAGGTGGATTTATAAAGTTTGAAATGCAGAAATAATGTGACAGGATTCATGGTTATAAAACAGTCCTAAAACACAAGCAATCACTAATCAAGACCCAATGCATTAAAGCAATGCTTCATCACTTTATTTGATCCAGTTACGCAGGGGAACTTTAGATGGAAAAACACCCACGGCACACACTTATTCAAAACAAACACTGCATTCTAAATTGCATACTACTCGAGTAATATGAACTTACTTCACAACTGTTAGAAAGGTATGTTCTATATGGCAGGATTGTGGATATTATGAATGGGATTCGCGATTCTGTCAGTATCACATGACCTCATTTCACTCCCATTCATAAATTCTCTCATTGGGCCTCAAAGGATAATAAACTGTCTTTATTGGATGATAATTTAAGGATCTCACTTTCAGGATATCTACTTGCCTACTGTATGTGCCTCTGCCTACATTTTTGTTAAATGTAAAATACATTGCTCCAGGTACACTTCGCTGTATGTTTCAGATGAAAAATCTACTAGAGAAAAGTACAAAAAACTTAATTCATTGTACTTAATTTGTAGGGTACAATGTATCCCTGTAAATATCATTAGTGTGAAAAGGAACAAAAGTTGTTGGTGTCATACTACCTCATAGTGTTCATTTTACCTTGAAACTGCAGTCAGATGTATGGTCAAGTACATTTTTTGACAAAACTGTATGCTGAATCCAGTGTTGTTGAGTAAGTGACTTAAAAAAATACAAATTACTGAAAACTACTGGAAAATTGCAATCTGATTACATTACTAATTACTTAGTGTAAAAAGTAATCAGATTAATAATTACTTTAAAGTTACTTTTAAAACATATAAAATATACCTATAAAATACAAAATAAACTGAAGCTCTTTCAGTACTTTAATATACACTGAAAACGTTACAATGGGTTGATTACAGCAGATTGACAAATTCAAAAGACTTAAAGAGTTTGCCCAAAACTGAAAATTCTCTCATCATTCACTTGTTCCAAACCTGTTTGTCTTTTTTTAACGCAAAAGAAGACATTAAGGAGAAAACTGGATACCTTAAACTTTTGACATCCATATATGCAAAAGCACTGCAGTGTTTGTGTGTTCTGTGTTTGTCTGAGGTAACTACCGAAATGTGTATATTCCATTCAAAGCATGAAGCTGCAATTATTGTCATGTGACTCGTAGTTTTCAACTGGTGCGCCTGGAAAATGCGAGCATGTGCATTATGCTTTTTGGATATGTGTGCGCAAGACGCGCGCCTCCATTGGAAATAACGAATTTACACGCGCAAAAGATGTGATATATGTAACGGCCCCAGAAGAAGCTAAGCTTCTCTCCACATTCAGAAGATACCTTCACTCCCGATCCTGCACAAAAATCCAGTGTAGCCTGTTTAGGCTGAGTTGGACTGCCATGTTTTTGGGCGCCGGTGTCCTCTTTGGTGATTCAATTACTTAAACAAGTTGCTGGTCGAGTAAAAAGCAGTTTAAAGTTCTTTAGAGACTACCTTTGACAGCAATATTTTTGTTTTTACACTCAATGAAATCAAAGTAATGTCTGTATTTCCACTTGAAGAAGCAAACACGCTAGTCAACATCTATCACCATTTTCAGCTTAAGTTTTCCAGCAATTTAACTACTTGACTTTAGTAACTGTGTAATCAAATTACACAAATTTGCCTTTACAAAACTCAATGCAATAAACATTGCTTATGTGACTAAACATGGTAACAGAGAGAGCTTATTTCACGCTGACTGGTAGATTGTCAAGATGACATTTGTTATAAAGGAGGGCAGTTTGTCAAGTTAACAGCCTGGTCTCTAACTGGTGCACAAGAGAGGTTAAGTAAAGTGCACACAGCCACGAGGCTCCAGACTGCAGGCTCTCCTCCTCTTTCATGAGCCCCAGGTGGGGCTTTAGAGCTGCTGGGAATCACATGCCAGCTGTGGGTCTAGAAGAGAAGGGCCCTCATGCTGGCAGGTAGAAAAACATACTCAGAGTTGTGTCAGCATTAATCTTTAACAGCAGAATGGCCCTTACACATGCCAAGTATGAGCCGATACGTGAACATTATTTCCCTGCCTTTCATTAAGCTTTAAGTCAGGAAATGAAAAGGTCTCTGCTGCTTTGCAATACATCATCTTTAGTCAAGAAGATTTTAGATATTTACTTTGGACTACCTTCTTCATATCCCAACCATTAATAGCGTTAATGTTTTTCAATTATCAGTCAGTTTTGGTTATTAATGTTATTGATGGGGTTTCCAGTTTTGATCAGCCTTTTGAGACTGGAAATGGTGGATAATTCATATACTTATGGCAGACGAGATCATTTTAGATTTTTTAAACTGTCTTTAGAGTTTGTGTAATTTGAGTTAACTTGCAATTTGAGTCAACTCCCAATATGACATACCTTCACTTTTTAAAATACTCAGCATTCCAAAAAACAGTGTTTCTTATTGCTGTACATAAAAATGTGAACTTAGATCAGGGGTTTCCATGGTCCCAAACAAGATCATCTTTTTGAGAAATCACACAGTTGCTTGTATAAAGACCAGTTTATATATATATATATATATATATATATATATATATATATATATATATATATATAAAGTATTACAATATTGAAATATTAATTGTTAAATATTTAGTTTCTATTAAGTTACATTATTACAAATTTCCTACTCTTTAATATAGTTTTCCATTTTGTCATTGTATATTTAATGTATAAAGGCACTATATTTATTCATTTTAATTCATATCAAATTTTGGAAAATGTACTTATTATAATCTTATTAAATTATATTTTTGTATACATTACTTCATAATTAGCATTATGCAGTTTTTATTTTTGTTTAAGCTTTTTTATTTTATATTATTGGTTTCTAATAATTTAAAAATATTTTTTTTTCATAATTTTCTATAATTTCCTATTTTTTATACATTATTTATATTTATTTATTTTCATTCTTAAAACACAGTTTATAGTGCATTTGTTTACATTATACAGTAGCAATTACTTTACATTCTAAAATGAACAGCAAAAGAAAACAAAGTGGTTATGCAAATGGGTTTCATATTTGAGATGCAATATAAGCTGCTATTCTGTCTTATAGATTTTTGAGAAAAACAGGACTGATATTGCTATCAATGCAATTTACAAACCACATTAAATTTATATGGCTGGTTCAGGCCTGTCATAGATAAATAAGTGATTAATTGAATCAATTAATCAAATGATTTGTTCAAAAGCAAAATCATTCCTAAACTAAACACTAAATAACTTTTTTTATTGGAAAAAAAGACTATTGCGTATTAAATTTTACTCGCCCTGTATACATTTTTTGTTTGTTGAAATGTATAAAAGCAATGCCAAATTTGAGGTAAGACATTTTCAGGAATGCAGCACTCTTTCATGTGTAAAAAAACTAAAACTTCTACAGGCATATTATTTATTTATTTATCAGGATCCCCATTAGCCACTACCAAGGTAGTGGCTATTCTTCCTGGGGTCCATCGAACATAACACAAAATTACATTAATACACAACTACAAAGACTAATAAAAACATTAAAATACAAAATTCATACATAACATCCAAATCAACATCCACTTAATATTGTTCCATTAAATATTTTTTAAATGATTTTTTAAACCTCCTTTTACTTTTATATTATGAATTAAAAAGAAAAAAGAATTAAAAATTATTTATTTTATATTATGGATATTATGAATTTTACAGTAAGTACTGTAAGTAGTACTAAGTAAGTAAGTAAGTAAGTAAGTAATGTGCATTTAAATCAGGCATTTATTGTGTTTTATTTTAACACAACTTTATTTATTCTTCCTTACAATTATGCGAGATGTCTCTCCACACCACACACCACTGTGAAGCATCCACCTGGATAAGCTATGAAAATGACAGGACAATGGCACTAGCGCACTCACCACACACCAGCTGCAGGTAAAGAGAAGAGACAGAGATACAGCCAATTCGGTGGATGAAAATGACTGGGAGGCCATGATGGGTAAGGGCCAATGAACAAAATTTGGTCAGGACAGGTCAGGTCAGGACCTCAGTTTAACATCTCAAACGAAAGATGGTGCTCACTGATAGTATGGTGTCCTCATCATTATACTGGGAAATTAGCACTTAGATAGACAGTAGGTGCTCTCAAACATGCTTAATTTACAGTGAATGCTTCTAGACATTCAAGACATATTTAAAAATCTAAATCAAAGTGAGTGAAATATTTAATTCAAGCGACAACATCCTGCTGTCTCTCGTGAAGCCAATAAGGAAGTAACTGAAACTGCAATTCATCAACTAGCCTTTGATACTCCAGATGTCCACTGACTGCTATGCTAAATTGGCCAATAGTACAGCTGATAAAACATGTTTACAGCCTGGTACAAAAGATGGTGTCTGTGCATATAGCTAATATTACCCTTCATAACAACTGTGAGGGGGGTTTATTTTTTATAACTCATCCGTTTCGTTTTTATTAAGTCTGCATAATTAAGGGCGTGGCCACTTGAGTGACAACTAGATTTTGCTTGTCGCCGCTTCGTCACCTCAGCTGATTAACTGCTGAACTCTGCATATACATCCTAT